TTGAATAATTAGATGAAATTTGTTTAGAATTCTTAATTGGCTTACCAAAATTAAGATTGATTTCTTTTACCTCGAGTCTTCATCGTCATATTATTTGTCATGCTCATCTTCAACACCAATCGTCATTGATCATATTATTTGTCAAGCCCGTCTTCAACACCAATCGTCATTGATCGATAGTGTATGAGAAAATTTAACCATTTTGCTTTATTATTATATTTGATCCCCTAAGAGTGTTTAACAAGGTAAGACTAGACCAAAAATTAAAAGATGATATTTACATCAAATCATATTAATACACTATGATTAGGTGATAAGCTAAGGTGAAAGAAATAAATAAAAGTGCATGTAAAAGATCAATATTACCAATTAATTAGTTTGATGTGATCAACATATATGATATTATGTGGCTTTGAAGGTCACTATTACAAAGAAATGGACAATTCCTACCCATATCAAATAGGATCATCTACCTATATGCGAACACCAATTTGTTAAATTTGTGTAATATATATAGACAAAACATGTTTTATTCATGTATATAAGAGAACAAACTATTTCAATTGGTCCTTGGAAGATAAGGATAAGAGTTATCGTCGCTTGATCACGGACTGATTATTACATACATGGTACGTTATAAAAAAAAATAATTACAAAAATACAAGATGAGAGGTATGCAATATATATACACATAATGTGGACAGTGGCGAAGCTGAAAATTTTATCGAGTGTTCAAGAATGATGGTGTGTGGCTATCAAAAATAAAATAAAAATTGTGCTATTTGAGATTTAAACTTGGAACTTAGATTCAAATGAACACCCATTGCCACTACATCAAATTAAGGCATAGCTTCTATCAAAAGTATCCAACTCTAAATATATATCCTTTAAATATGAATATGATTTTCATAAATATTATATTTTGTGCTTCACTAGAATTCTCTAAAACTAAACAATACTATATGTCTTTGTTTTAAATTATTATAAAAATTGTGACACATTCCTTCACATTTTTTGCATGTGAAGAACTTTCATCACAGATTGAATAAGATGAAGAGTTAATTATTACTCCACCTTATTATATATTATTTTTTTATGAAATTTCTTTAAGACTAAACAATACTATATATTTTTATCTTACAAAATTAGATTTGTTATTTGAAATTGTGACTTCACGTTTTCTGCGTGTGAAGAACTTTCATTATGATCTTGAATAAGATGAAGTGGTGATTATTGCTCCACCTTATATAATTAAATATCCCTACCTTATTGCAAACTTAGACCAAAATAAATGAAGAAATAATAAAACTGAAAGAATTATAATTATATTATTATTATTATTGTTATTGTTATTATTGTTATTGCTTGCTTTATGTTTGGACATGTAAAACCGTGTCTCATTTTTTGTAAGAAAAAACATTTTTATTGGCCTACTAGGATTAGACGGAACATGCATTACTTGCTTTTCATGAATTAAGTTTAGAGACATAAGAAATTGAATTAAGCTTCATATATTTGAAAATTGAGGCTATGATTATGTCTATGCTGAAAATTGTGAAATCATCTAATTAAAACGTTTAAATGATTAGAGAGGACACATTTTTATTTACTTAATTAAATCCTCCAGTATATTTTCTTACATGTGGGGTCTAATTCTTGCTCTGTTTTTTTTTTTAATGAATGATGATGAAATTTGAAGTCATGATCTCTACATGTTTTGGTACCATATTGTACATCTAGAAATACGGAGAAACTCTTGGTAGAGTGAACTTCCCGATCAATTGAATCATGTAATGGTGAATTTAAATTTATCGATGCTGTGTATATGACTCAATAGAGGAAAACACACACTAGATAGCTACCAAGAGTTTCCTCATTGTCAAAGCTGGACACCAAGCTTATGGTGGAGTGATAAGTATGCGTTCATTCTTAATCAAATGTTTCAGTTTCAAGCTTCGAGTATGAAGTCACACAAAGGCAAAGCTAAGATTCTAATACTATGGGTTTTTTCATTTTTACAATCACTAAAAATCACAATTTCAGTGATAATATCTAAGTTCCAAATTTAATGTTTGTATATATTAATGAACTTATTGACACAAACACAGTATTTGAGCAAAATCTATTGAGTCGATAGACCGAATCTTCATCGGACTACTAGCTCCACCCCTGTAATCACATTTGCTAGGGAACGTTTGCGATTTAAATTTAGTCAGGTCTCAATAAGGATATCATACACATGATGAAAACCTAAAAAACTTTTAATTTTTTTTTGTAATAATCGAGCTAGTTTTAATTTCTAATATCACATGGTTATGAATAAAAAAAAAAAAGAAGAGAAAACCATTATAAATGTTTGTCACTTATCTGTTATTAAGGTATCTCGATCTTTTGATTTCTAAACTATGAGTAATGCAAGTTTTCTACTTGAATTATTAAACAAAGAGTAGGCACCCGGGTGTAGTTCCCTTCTTTTGTGTCGTCATCCACGCAGTGCAACTCATAATAGTCGAACCAATAAATTTCAAATATTGAATAGTTAGGAAAACCCCCTATAAATCTCCCACTTCATTGCTTCAATCAACTCAATCAATTAATCCATCTCCACACACACACATACAAACATGAAGAAACTTCCCTTCTTTCTTCTCATTTTGCTACTTACAATAATTTGTGTTCATTCCCAAGTAACCCCTCCTACCCCAGCCCCAGCCCCCCTCCCACCCTCACCCCCACTCCCATCAATGATGAGGTATGTGCTTCAATGGCCACCAACTCTTTGCATGACACTAGAAAATGGAAGGTGCAAAGAACCAATTCCTGAAAATGAATTCCTACTCCATGGCCTTTGGCCAGCAGATGAAATGGAAATGTCATGGGAGGCACCCCCAAACCACCTGACCAAAAATGGAATGCAACTCTGGTATATATATATATATATATATATCGCGTTCAAGTTTTATGCACTGTCTGACGATATTATATAAAACAAAAATATTCATATAATGTTTTCTTGTATAATGCGTTTAAAAATAAATTAGAAATTAGCTATAAAATTCATCGCTAGATAGCTTGTATCTAACAAGATTTTTTGATAGACTTGATACATAGATAGATATCTTAACTTGTCTTTAATTGACAACTAATAATTAAACACTCCAACTTTGAGAATGCACATCTAGACAACTTAACTCGGAGTACAGTACCAAAACAGACACTTTTTGAACTCTAAACACTAAAAGGGACCCTCTCTAAAAACACACACCAAGATGATAGTTGTAGTTCGTCCATTTGTGGTAAGGAGTTAACAAAAAGAATTGTAGTTCATCCATTTGTGGGAGAACTACCTTTAAGATTTGTATAATATTAGTTTGGATGAATTTAGAGTTAACGGGGACTACGACATTAAAAGATGGTAGTTGTAGTTACCCATTTATGGGTGAACTGTCCGTTTTGGTGTGTGTTTTTAGAGAGTCCTTTGGTGTTTAGGGTTCAAAAGTGTCTGTTTTGATGTCGGACTTGCTTAACTCATCTCCATTGTGTCTCATGGTATATCCGATGTTGACGTGACATAAATTTTGAAAATGTTTAGATGATCATTTTGTAAGTACAGTGTTCATCTGGCACAATGAGACGGGTTAAGTTGTCTAGATATGCATTCATAAAAGTATACTCTTTTATTTAAAAAAGGGAAAATACATAAAACCCCCCCTGAACTTGGCACGAAAACTTACTTTAGTACTTAAACTTTACGGGTAATTATTTACCCCCCTTATCTCATTTCGCGTGAATTTAATACCATCCTAACGGATGACGTGGCAAAAAAAGAAAAGAAAAGAATTTTTTTTGAAAGCGCGTTAAGTTACTTTTAAAAAAAAGTAATGGTCCCACTTTATATATATATAATGAAAAAAACCACCCACCCCATTCTTCTTCTTCTTCAAACCCCCCACCCCACTTTCTCAAAACTCCACCTACCCCATCTACCTGCTTGTCTTTTCTTCTTCAAACTCCCCACCACCCTATCCCCACCTCACCCCATCCTCTTTCTCCTTCTTCAAACTCTACATTCAAAGTACATTTTCTTGTTAAACACATAAAAAAAAAGAATCACATTCAAGATCCACATAATTTTTTTTACTCTTTACTTTGGAGATTTGTTTTTCTTAAAAAGTTGTGATTTTTTTTGAAAAATAAAGACTTGGGCATAAAAGAAGATGAGGTTTTGTTAACCAATCTATAATGTTAATGGTTGGCAATGGCGATTGAAGCAATGGGTAGAGAAAGTTTTTTTTTTTTTTTTTAAAAATCACTACAAATAAATGTGTTTTTTCTTGAATTAGTTAAGAATTAGACCTTGATTAGTATATAAAAATTAAAAAAATGAAGAACACCGACAATCGACATGGCAGTAAATGACATTGAGTATTGAAAAAAAATCACTGCTAATGATTTCAATATTTCTTAAACTAATTAAGAACTAAAGATTAACTAGTATTTAAATATTTTGAAAAGGAAGGAAAGAAATGAATTTAAAAAATCAAAAATCAAATTTTAGAGAATTTCCAATGTGGCTATGACGTGGCGCTTATGTGGTTCTAATGTGTCAATGACGTGGCGCGTGTGTAATACACTTGCCAACTTGAGACTTGTATTATATTTTTAGGGTGATATTAATTCACTTCAAATATGTTAAGGGGGTAAATAATTACCCGTAAAGTTTAAGTACTAAAGTAAATTTTTGTGTCAAGTTCAGGGGTTTTTTTAATGTATTTTCCCTTTAAAAAATCATTTATTTTAAGTATAGTTTCGGGACATTGCAAAGTCCACATACTAGCAAATTAGTAGTGGTCTTTTCATATAAAATGAGAAGGAAATAGTAATTGATTTGCTTGTACTCATTTCATTATTAGTTTACTTTTGTGTGTTTGAGCAATATTATATGTAATAACTGACTTTGATTGTGTAAATATTTTTTTTCCTGATCGATCGCACGACAGGTCAAACCATTGGAAGTTTACCTTGTACCCTTCTGGAGATCACTTAAAGAAAACTTCAACAATATGGGGTTATATAAGCATGAGTTTAAAAGGCATGGAATATGGGCACAAACAGGTGTAAAAGAATACTTCAAAACAGCAATAAGGATCAACAACATCTCTTTTGTAGAGATGAACTTGTACAATTACTTGGAAACAAGTAATATTATTACCTTTGATACCTCGGGTTATATTGAAAATGATATTGTTGATGCTATTCAAAAGTATTTGCCTCGCCTACTCCTCTATCGCCAGCACCTGCACCACCACATGACCCCTCTCTCTCACCGGCCCCTACGCCATCACATGACCCCTTCAATATTTACCTCTCTTGTAGTTTGATTAACACAAAACTTTACTTGAATGAGGTTACTTTTTGCACTTATCCCAATGGGACTAAATTTATTTCATGCCCTCATCAAATACCTGATCCTCTAAGACGCTGCGATGGAGCTAATATTATGCTACCTCTTGCAAGAGCTCAATCGTAAGAATTTAATTCTCTACAAAATTTACTCACATTCGATATTGAATTACTCAATTTAATTTCCCAATCATTTGATTGGAAAATTTAAACATGTCATACATGTACATTTATTTATGATTAAGTAATATGTATATGCATTGTTATTACTTAATTATTATTTAGTGACACATATTATCATTGATATTTCTTTTATTCATTTCTTTGTAGGCCGATTCCACCATCACCATCACCACCACCTCCGAATAAATTTCAGGAAGAAGAATATGGGACATATCCAATATTTGAACGTTCATGGGCTAAATATATATTCAACGGTTGGATTTAATGTATCAATTTTCTAAAAATAAATAAGAAAAGAGAATGGAATATGCTGTATCTGATGACGTGTAAGCATATATAATGGGCACCCACTAAGTAAAATTATAATTTATTACCTTGAATAAAAGTTTTATTCTATTCTCTCTTTAATATTTGATTATTTCCCATGTACTCAAATCAAAATTTAGCACAATATTCATGTTTGTTATTTTTTTTTCTTGAATTGGGTCAATCACGTTCACTAGAAGACGATAATAGAACAATTTTATCGATAAAAATGAATATACACTTTATTGCAATCTCAAATTGATGTACTTTATAGTGGGGTAGACATGACCATTTAAACAAAAATGAAAATAATGTGCGGGAAAGAAATTTATTTATATATCATCGAACTCATCAACATCATGATCAATGATTTTGCGATTATATTTATAAATAAATTTTCTAATACAAATAAAAGATATAAACAAAAGTTGTTACTCTGCCTCCTGCTTAGATCTTATATAAACAAAAGTTCAATCTCAAATATGCATATTAATAAAGAGTTTTTTAGTCTTTATCGATTTAGTTAATTGTCATTAGATCCAATATTGCTATAGATTATAGCGGCATTTACAAATAGTGCTAAAATATAATTATCACTAGTAATTGAATCTAAATAAATACATTTAGGGACAATTAAATCATTACTATTAATTAATTACTCTTAAGATTATTTTTGGTATAATGTATATAATGAAAAAGAGAAAGAGAGAGAAATCTTGAGTCACAATAAATAAATTAGAAAGATGATCATTTTATTTGCTTCATTATTCAGTACATATCTCAGTCACAATTGAAACATTATTCATCTTTCTATTATTTTTATATTATTACTCACTAAACTTTCTAATAAAGCTTCACATAATTGTCCAAGGATCTCCATAAGCTATTGGGTCCAAGCTTTTCTCCTGTTGTTTTAATAGGCTGCACAAAAAATAAATAAACCATATCTTAGCATTTAGTATGGAATTGTTTAAAAACTCAATGAATGGTTTTAAATTAATTTTCAAATATAACAATTTTTTTTTAAAGAAAAAACTTGAAAAATTTCATAGTTTATACTCAAGTTATGGACATTGGAGATTTATAGTTATGACCAACATTCTATTTAAATGTCAAAAAAGACTTTAACGATTCTGAATGTAACGACATTAACTCAACATAATTTTCCTTAAATACTTTTGCGGAAAAAAAATCTATTGTCACAAAATATCTTTTTTTTTGTAGTGTTGAAGAAAGCGCGTACCTTTGGAGGTGAAGGACGAGGAACAATAATGTTTTGGACACGACAACGTTTGTTAGTAACAGAAGTTGGACAATCCACAAAATTCTTTGCATCATTTGTGTAGCAAAATGTAACTTGATTCAAATAAGCATGAGTTGCATTAATGTCTTTGCAAGTAAAAGACACATCCTTATTGTTTGAAACTTGTTTGAATGAGTTCAATATTTCAACATTGTTGTATGTAGCAGAGTCACAAGGGACAATTCCATTTGAGTTTATTAAATGACTTTGTAATAAATCTCCAATTTCACTATCCAATCTTGAAGCCCTATTGAAATATTGTGTTGGAGTTTTGAACCTTTCCATTGTACATGTTCCATATGTATTCCAAGCTTCCTTCCACATGTCTTTGGAATCTTGTTTAGTGAGAGAGGGCCAAAATAGGCTGAGTTTATTTACCATCGTGGTATCAAACTGTGACAAACAAAATTGGAATTATCTTGTTAGCAGTGGCGGAGGTAGGAATTATTTTCTGGCTAAGGTGGTTTGGTGACCCCCTTTAATAAACGTGAATGCTTGTTAGTATTGTTGAAGATATAGTTAAATAAAACGATGATCTTTCTGATCTTTTAATCTTTTAGAGGAAATAAGATGATTGTGCAATTCAACATGGTATGCTAGAGTACGTAGGTAGGGATCGAGGGTTTGAATCTCATAACCTCCAACCATTAGAAGGAAAAAAAAAGATTTTTCATGTGTTTGACTTAAAGAAAATGATCAGGCTCACATGTGAAGGGAACTACATTAAAATTGCAATTAAATAAATAAAAACATATTTTACCTAACAAAATGATCTTTTAGACGAAATACTCACAAATAATATTTATACTTTCCAAATCATACAATAGTACCACTTACTAAAAATACATGTATTCTCACATCGGTCAATTAGCAATAATTTTTCTGTAAAACTTTCGGAAATCAGTTTCATGTAGCTTGACAAGGAATTAATTTTAGTATATATATATATATATAAAAAATAAAATAAAATTGTTATTAATAAATAAAATCATACCACTTTGTTCCAATCACGTATTTCTGGATCTCTACAACCTTGTTGAATATTTCCATTGGAATCTGTGCCCCAAAAACCATTCAAAGTGAATTTGAGAGGAGGAATTTGCTTACATCCCACTGGAGTATCCTTATTACAATAAGTTTCTGACCATTTATAAACAAATTGTGTTTGTGCTATATTTTGTGAACAAACACAAATGAAAAATAGTGTGAGATGAGTGAGAAATAAGAGTGAGAGATTATTCATTTTCATATAATTTTTTTAAAGATATAGTCTATGAGGAAAAAACTTGCTATGAACCACATGAGAATATATAGATGTCTTATAAGGTCCTTTGTCTATTTTAAATAAACCACCCACCCCACCCACCCACTAGGGCCTTTTCGATCGAAAAAACCGATAGGACGCGATCTATTTTACAGGATTATTAAGTAAAAATCGACTGAATTTGGTGGGTCGGAAAAAAGTTGATTGGTATAAGAAATAATTGATTTGATTGGTAAAAACTGACTGACTTGGTTTTTGAGCAAGACATGAAAGAAACTCGCCCTTTGATATCAAAAGATAAGAGTTGATTATTAGCAATGACTTGGTGAAGGAAATCTATGATAGAAGGGTCTCGAACTGGGTTACGATTAACGTGGAATCAATGAGTTCAGTCGAACAAGATAACAACGTCAATTAATTAGAGAGGAACAAAATAAATTTAACTAATCAAAGTCGGTAATCCAATTAATTTTGTAATATTAGTTGACTTAAGGTTTGGACCAAAAAATCGACCCTTTCAATCCGTTGTTTGAAAATTTTATTTTCAATTAAAATTATTCTCTAATTAATATTACCGATTTGTTTGATCGATTTTATTAGTTTTTTATTTTCCTTAAAAAGATCGATGGAGCAGGACAAAAATCGGAAGAATGGTTAAAAGGAACATGACAAGGCGAATTAATATTATATGAGTTACAGTTAGGGTGTGTTTGGTGTGAAGGAAAATGTTTTCCTATAAATCTTTTCTTGGAAAATAAGTGGATGGCGTAAAATATATATATATATTTTTAAATTTGAAATATTTTTCAAAAATAATTTTTCTTAAAAAATAATTGGCGGGGCAACCTGGGTTGGGGGGTGGCGTAAAAAATGAAAAAAAAAATTAAATTTGAAATAATTTTTAAGGGGGGGGGGAGGGAGGGGTATGGGGTGGAGTAAAAACAATGAAATTTTAAAAATTTGAAATATTTTTTCAAAATAATTTTTTTGTGGGGGTGGGGGTGGGGATAGGGGTGGTAGGGGTTGGATAAGGTTAAACAAAATCTTAAAATTTGAAATATTTTTCAAAAATAATTTTTAACTTTTTTTTTGTGGGGGGGGAGGGGGGGGGGGTTGGTTTGGGGTAGGGGTTGGGGGTTGGTTTAGGGGTAGGGGTACAAATATATTTGAAATTTAAAAAATAAGAAAATATTAAAAAAATAATTATTTTTTTGGATGGGGAGGGTCGGGTTCGGGGTACGTGGTAGGGTAAGAAAAAAATATTGAAGGATGAAGTAGAGTTTTGAAAAATATTTTCCTTGATTTTTGAAGGGAAGTCAATTTCCCTAAATTTAAAGAAAATGAGATGATTTGAAAAACATTTTCCAAAACATTTAAGCCAACTAAATATGAAAAATTGGAAAACATTTTCGAGAAAATATTTTCCTTCACACCAAACACACTCTCAGTCTTGCCTTTCACCATTTCATTCTATTTGTCATTATCCAATCTTCTTATACTTACTTTATATTTTTAACTCCCTTGATAAACAATATTATATATCTTAATTCAGATTTGTTATTGAAATTGTGACATAATATTATATTTACATCACAAATTGATGCATGTGGAGAACTTTCATCACAAATTAAATAAGATGAAAAGTTAATATTACTCCAACTTGTGATATAATATTTTGTGAAAAAGATTCTTTAAGACTGAACAATACAATATGTTTTTAGTTCAGATCTGTTTTGGAAATTGTAACATGGTATTATATTTGTTCATATTACATGCATGTGAAAAACTATATTAATATTAAATAAATAATATTAAAATAAGATGAATAGTTAATTAAAATATAAGATGAAGAGTTAATTATTACTCCACCTAGCTCATTATATATTATTTTTGTAAAAGATTCTTTAAGACTAAACAATACTATATGTTTTAGTTTAGATCTGTTATTGAAATTGTAACGTAATATTATATTCATTCACATTATCTGCATGTGAAATATTAATATTGAATAAGATGAAGGGTCAATTATTGCTCCACCTTAATAGTAAATATTCAATTTATTAAGAAATTAATAAGATGGATTGGAGGTATCAATTATGACACCATTTAAGACAAGAGGGTGGTCGTGTATATCCTATATTGTAAACGTGGTTTTAGAAGAGATACAAATTTCAATAATTGATTCTATGTTCTATTGGGGTCAAGGGCGGATCTACATAGAGCGTGCCGGGTGCTCGAGCACCCATTGATTTCGACAATTTTTTTGTATATTTATATCGAAAATCTGCAAAAATGAATATATAATACATATTAGCACCCATTGAACTTTGAACAAAAGCACTGATGGTGTAACATCTCGCAACTAGAAAGAAATTTAAAATCTGGAAATAGTTATTTTTGGAAAGTATAAGGAAATCTGGAAAAAAATTTAAGTTAAAGTGAGTTTTTGGTCAATTTCAAACGACCATAACTCTTATCTCAGGATGAGTTAGGTACAGTTCTAGATATGGTTGGAAAGCTCTTGGAATGATCTTTCCAACGCCGCCAAGTTTACACGATTCCGAGTTTGGATGAGTGAGTTATGCCCTTTGGAAGTTGGGCTGTTGGATTAAGGAAATGTCCAGTCCGGAATTTTAAGGGGTATTTTAGTCTTTTCATTACCCTATTATTTTAATCCATTTTTAGGAGTTTAATATGGGTCAAATCAGATTTTAGTCAGTTTTAGAATTTGAGATTTCACGCTAGGGCTAAGGAGAAAGGAGAAGAAGAAGCAAGAACGTTCAAGATCGTCGAAGTTTGGCTTGTGGAATTCGTTGGGGGTGATCCCTACAAGGTATGTGAGATCACATAGCGTTGGGTTAGTTCACCCACGCGCCAAGCATGTTTAATTCTGCGTATTTTCATTCGAAAGGATTGAGAAATAGTTGTTTTTGAATTGATTTCGTTCTTGAATATGAGTGGGGAGTTGGGAGTTTCTTGATGATTAAGTGTTGTTTCCTTGAGTTATTTGGGTTAGATTTTGTGTATATGATTTGGTACATGAATTTAAGGTGAAATTTGGGAAAAAAGAATTAGATTAAAATGATTTAGGATCAGAAAACGAGTTGAAAAACTCGTCAGACGCACCTGGGGAGGGCCAGGCGCGTCGCGCCCCCATAGCTCCAGGAGGCTGGGGAGGTGCGCCTGCAGTGCACCCAAAACAAGCCCTAGTAAGTTAGGGCCTGGCGCGCGGCGCCAGGGACGCGCCGCGCCAGGGACGCGCTCGGATCGGCGTTTTTCACTAGTTTTTCGTTGTTTAGCCTATTTAAGTTATTCTAAAGTGTCCTAACACTTTCCATTGATTCTAACTAAGGGTGGCAACGGAACCGGTAACGGAACTACCGGACCGGGACGTTCCGGAACCGGAACGGAACTGGGCACCACGGGCCGGAACCGAACCGGAACCGGGACGGACCGGAACCGGTAATTCCGGAAAAAAATACCCGAACCCGTCCCGGACCGGTAACGGACCGGACCGGAAACCGGGTCCAACCGTTATAAATTATATTTTTTTATTAAAATTAAAAAATTAGGAATATTACACTTAAAAATTTATACTTTTAAAGTTTTAAATACAAACTTTCAAACTTTTAAAAGTATAAAAGTTTAAATTTCACAATTTAAAACTTTGAAAATTTAAATTCAAACTTTAAAACTATAAAAGTTTAAATTTCACCCTTTAAAAGTTTGAAAATTTAAATTCAAATTTCAAACTTTAAAACTATAAAAAGTTTAAATTTCACAATTCACACTTTAAAAGTTAGAAATTTTAAATTTGAATTATAAACTTTAAAACTATAAAATTATAAAAATTTAAATTTCACACTTTAAAGTTTAAATTTAAAAAGTTTGAAAATTTAAATTCAAACTTTAAAACTATAAAAGTTTAAATTTCACACTTTAAAAATTTGAAAATTTAAAACTTTAAAACTATAAAAGTTTAAATTTCACACATTAAAAGTTAAATTTAAACTTTTGAAGACAATAATAAAAAAAAATTAAGGCGAATAGCCTATACTTTTATTAATATTAATTAAATAGTACAAGTTGAGTTACAAAATATTAGTAGAGTATTAAAAAATCTAATCTACACAGCCACCTTCTAGGAAGGGTTCTGTTTGAATTAGACCTCGAATTATTATACTCATACTAATAGACATTTAAATTTAATAGTTCATGCTACCAAGGAAATCTTTTTTTAAATCATTTAACATTTCTCTAGTAACATGCTCTGGAATTGGTTGATTAGCTAGTTCTTCCATTGCATCAATGCCGTCATCACTAAAATCTAGCATTATTTCATCAACGTCATTTTCAAATTTGGTCGGTAGAGGTGGACGACCATAACTCCTTCTCTCGCCATTAATCCAATCTCTAAATAGTACGGATATCTCCAAGCTATCTGCTGCTAATGAATATCTATGCTCTCCAATTTGAAATCTTGCTGCACTAAAAGCGCCTTCCGAAGCTACTGAAGATGCTTGAATAGCTAACACATCTCGAGCAACCGGTTGTAGTTTTGGAAATCCTTTGCCGCGATTGCTCCACCATTCTAGAAGATCAATAGTAGTAGGTTCTGTATTTTGATTAATATATGCATCAAAATCATTTCTATCATTATGAGAAAGTTCAATAATACAATCTATCATATCATCAATTTCATCTTCATTATTATATCTACTCCTAGAACTTTGAGGCTCTTCGTTATGTACTACATTCCTTATATTAGAATTATTATACAAGTCGTACAATTTTCTAGCTTCAATTTTTATACTATCTTTAACATCTTGACAACTAGGTGTTTCATCATCTTCACTATCAATACCCAAATTAAAATATATTTTATCAACCATTCGTGCTGCACCTTCATCTTTGTAATGTGGGTTTAACAAACAAGCAGTTAAATAAATTTGAGGAATAGGAATAAAATATTTTTAAAATTTTTCAATCATTTTCTTAACAGATTGTTCAAATCTTGGTTTATTTTTAAATTTATAAAATTTATTAGAAATAGCACAAATATTAGGTAAAACAGAGCAAATAGTTGGATAATAAAGTGCAGATATTTTTTTTGTAGTTAAATAAAAAACTTTTAAGAATTCTATAAGTTCTTTTATGTCATTCCAATCATTATCATCAAGTCTATATGTCATATTTGAATTATGAGCATTCCAAACCATTTGTAAAGGTTTCCTATATTCATAAGCAACTTCAAGCATTTCAAATAAAGAATTCCATCTTGTACACACTGATTTTGAAATTTTTCTAGGTGGAAGATTAAATTCACGACAACGATTTTCAAAATCTCTACGTCTAGACTTAACTTGACATTTAAAAATAAAATGACATGCAGTTTCAACTTTTGTGCAACCATCGTCATATATTGCTATACCATCTCTAACAATCAAATTATATATGTGTGCAGCACACCTAATATGAAAACCATCAATATAAATAGGGCAAAGAGACGGTTTTAGTATTTCAACAGCATTACTATTATTAGAAGCATTATCTAATGTGACACTACTTATTTTATCACAAATTCCATAGTTTTGCAAAACATCTATAATTGTTTGAGCTATATAACTACCGGTTTTATGCATTTCACAACATTTATAACCTTAAATTCTTTTTTGCAAAGTCTAATTTTCATCAATCCAATGCGCAGTAATTGTGAAATAATCATTACCATTTACACTATGGCCCATATCAGAAGTAATAGCTATTTTACAATTGTTATAATAAAATAAACAACGAAGATATTGAAAATGTTGAGCTTGATAATCAAAGATAGCCTTTTTAATTGTATTTCTAGTAAAACCTTTAAAATGTGGATTATACACAATTTGAATATAATGAATAAAACTGGGATTTTCAGCAAAACTAAATGGCAAACCCATAACAACAATCATTTTAGCTAATTCTTCAAGATCTTTTTCTCTACTATATGACCGTTGTATACTAGAACCAGAAACATTAGAAGGATTTAATTGTGTTTGGACCATATTAGAGCCATCTACTCCTACATTTTCAGGAAGGGTGGTACCATTTTTTTTAGCTTCGGCTACAGCTTTAGCATGCAAAAATTCATTTTTACAACATGACATTAAATGATTACTCAAATGTCCCGTCCCACCCTGTTTTCCTACAGTTTTATGATTCATTATATGTTTACATTTATTACAAATAGCTTGTGTTTTATCTTCATTCTGAGTCATAAATTGCCACACAACTGATTTTTTAGCGCGTTCTACCTTAGTCCTAGGATGCACGGGGGGAATGGGAGTAGGACAACGAAAGGGAGCGGGAGCCGGGGAAGAGGGATTGGGAGGGGGACTAGTAGCCGACGGTGGCTCAGTTTCATCATCATCATATTCATCAACATTATTATCAAAACTATCAACATAATCATTAACATCATGTTCATCATCTTCAGGTAATTCCTCTTCAAAATTACCAAATCTTCTTTGTAAATGTTCATGATAAGGATCTAATCCACTATTACTATCAATATTAAAAACAGTTTCATCAACATGCGTATAATCATCCGTATTTATTCTTAATTGAGAAGTTTTTTTAGTTTTAGATTGAGAAGTACTACCGGTTTTTTTATTTTTCTTGGATTTTGAGCTAGATAAATTAGTGAACGAATTAACTATGGTTGTTTTACCCTTTTCAATAATGTTTTTTCCAAAATCCATATTCAAAATATAAAAAATGAGCAAATTATATATAATACGAAAATGATTAGCAAAGTTTTAAACAAATAAACAACTAAATAAGTAGAGATTAGAGATTAATTACTTACAAAATAAATAATTAAATGTAAACAAATAAATAACTAAATCAAAAGTGAGTTGGAACGAATGTACCAAACGTCTACTTAAAAAAGTAGACGTGTATGACCGGAAGGCGAAAATTGAAAGTTGAATTTTGAAGCTCCAATTTCCAAAGTTCAAATTCGTAATTTTAACGAGAAGTCGAGAATAAGAGAATTTAGAGAGTAGAGACTAGAGAGTAGAGACTAGAGAGTAGAGAGATTATAAGATATTTTTGTGAGTGAAAAGAATGAAAGATTAGGGGAATTTATAGTTAAAAAAAAGGTTGAAAATGTAGTTTTAAGAAGTTTGGGGTATTAAAAAAAGTTTGGGGGGTAGGGAGGTGTAAATGGGGGGTTATGGGGTGAAAGAGCCGTTGGTGGGGCCCAAAACCCGTTGCCCAACGGCTCTCAACGGCTATTTTTTAAATTTTCAGATTAAAAAAAAAAAAAAAAAAAAAGTTCCGAACCGGACCGGAATCGGACCGGACCGGGACGGAACCGGGACTAACCGGACCGGGACGGACCGGTAAAATCCCGGTTTCCGTCCCGTTACCCCTCCCGGACCGGAACAAGTCCGGAATTAACCGGCACTATCCGGAACCGAGACGGAACCGGTAACGGACCGGAACGGACCGGAAGCAGAACCGGAACCTCCCGGTTCCGTTGCCACCCTTAATTCTAACTACTCTAAATGACTTCTAAACACCTAGAAATCATCCAGAAACATGAATCATAACCTTGAATCCATAAATTCAAATTCAAGGAAAATGAAGAGCCAAGTCTAGGAAGTTCTTCGAGTCTTTTCATTATGTCTTTTGCAAATGCTTTTAACTTTGTTTTAAGGCTTAAGTTCAAGTTAAGCAAAGAGTAAAGATTTGAAGTTTCATTTCTTCAAAGAAGTATATGGGAACTAAGTATTCCCAAGAAGTTTGAAAATGTTTTCACATTTTGAGAAAGAAAAAGGGAACATCGATTCCAAGAGAGCTTTTAAGCTAAGTTTTGAGTAATTATCTCAAACCAAAGAAAGAAATTGTTTTAAAACATATGAGCTAAGTATATTTTTGGGAGTAGTATTGAGCACCGATATGGGGATGCGAGTTCATATTAACTAAAGTCTCCATAAACCATGTAGCCATCATGGGTATTAATGGGTCATACTTTTTAGATGATCACATAAGTTAAGCTAGTGGATCCACTAAGTTAAGTAGTTCTATATGACGGCATAGTATAGGACAATCTAGCAGTGTGATGGTAAAAACGTTGTATCACCATTTAGGCTCATGTGATGGTTGTCGGTTAGAGAATCTCCCACAGAAACCATATTATTTTATTATATGAGTAAAGTTGAGTTGTTATTGCATTTCCTTTAACGAACTAAGTTGCTTTTACTGTTTATAAAGCTTTTCATATATTGCATGTGTCCATTGCTTTATTTAAAGTTAAGTTATCCATGAAATGAGAAGAACCAAAGTAAGTGTTTCTTTCAGAATCTTTTCAAGTCTATGTATTGTTTAGCTTTCCAACTCGCATACTCGTACATTCAATGTACTGATACTAGTTGGCCTGCATCGTCTTATGATGCAGACACAGGTAACCAGGATTAGCATCCAACGCCTCATTGATCCAGCTTGACCACTCAGAGTCTGTGGTGAGCCTCCTTGCATTCAGAGGACTAATTTATTTGTTTTCTAGTTTAGTTCATTAGGATGTTGTGGGGTTTGTCCCAACATCCATCTCAATTTTTTTAGAGGCTTCATAGACAGTCAGTTATTAGTTATTTAGTCTTTTCATTTTATCTTATGTTAAGACTTGGGTTACCATTTTGGCCAAGTTGAATGTTTAATTCTTTTAACATTCTAAGTTATTTTACCGAGCAATTTGAGTAAGTAAGCCAGGCCAAGGGTTCGCTTGGGGTCATCAATGGTTCTCGAGTGTCAGTCTCGCCCAGGGTATAGGCTCGGGGCGAGACAGATGGGTGCTTTGGTTCAGGGCCAGATCTTAAACATATGTGCGGGGGTTGCTAGGTTGAGGGATCGAATCTCCCCAGTAGCCTAATTTTTTTCCTCATAAATTAAACATTTTCTTACAATTAGATCTCAACCTTTGACGACATTCATAAATATTCTTCCATAATCTTTTTTTAGTTGGATTTGACCACACTACATAATTTAGGTTGGAAGTTAGATCTCATTCTTGAAAATTAATTAATGAAGCCTTAGTAATCTTTAGAAACATATCCCTCGTTCACATCATGTATTTTCTTGTACATAAAATAAATTATTATTTATAATATCATATTAAAATGCATTTCAAATTGATTCATGAGAATTTTCTTTGAATGTTTTAAAAAAGACATTTGTAATTTCTCATGAATCAATTTGAATTGCATTATATTATCCCGAATTTAAAATGAGATGAAATAAACAGATCAAACGAGTCCATATAATAAAATAAGCAGATTATTAACTTATCCAAACATAAATGAATTAGACGGATCATGAATATTTGGATTGATTTTGCCCATCCCTACGAAAGAGTGATTTGCCTGACTTGTGAGTTAGCAGTAGGTGTTCAACAACTGATGTTGACACCTAATTTTGACCCTCTCCGATAATAATTAATTTTCGAGCTTCTTTAATCTCAAACGATTTGAAATAATTGATTTTATAAAAATTCAAAATATGTTTCAAAATATTTCTTTTTAAGAATTTTATTCACTTTTATAATATTTTAAATATTTTAAATAATAAATATGTTTTATATTGTTACGTATGTAACAAACATATTGTATAAATACTTGAAAACTATCTTTAAAAAAAAAGGATTTCATTGTTATTACTATTATTATTATTATTTTAACGTTAAACACTTTATTAATCTAATTTAGTTTGAATTATAGCTATGTTGTTGAATTGATTATTTTTATTAAGTTAATTATTTTATTCC